GGGGTAAGGGAGAACCTGTGGTCACTGGTGTTATTTAACACATTTCTGGGTTGCCTGTGATAGCTACACAGGAGTATGTGATTAGAAGATGTATAAATATTAGTAGCTTTCTGGTTTGATGTCTTACAATGGTATGTAACAGTCACCTATTGCCGTGTGACAAAATAATTACAAAATTCTCAGGTTACATATTTCTCGTTCATGCACCTCTTGGTTGGCTGGAGTTCTGCTGCAGCTCATCTAGGCTTGACTCCAGGTTGTAGGGTGGATTCAGGTCTGTCTCACCTCCCTCTCCTCCTTCCTGGATGAGTAGGCTCTCTGGGCCATGCGCTCCTTACAGGACATCGGCACAAGAGGACAAGCCCAACAACCCAAGGACGTTACAGAACTCTCCTTCTATCTGCCAACATTCCATTGGCCAAAGAAGGTCACGTGACCAAGTCCAAACTCCTGGGGCAGGGAAGCATGCTCCCCCCCAGTACTCGGTCACTCCCTTCTGTCTACACTGACCTTCTTGCTGTTTGAGCAAGCCAGTCACACTCCCCTCTCAAAGTCTTTGTGTTTGCTTTCCTGTCTTGTATATCCATGGGTCATGCCCTCACGTGCTTACAGTTTTTGCCCGACTGCACCTCATCAACGAAGGCTTCCAAGATTCCCCTTTCTGAAGGTTCCCCACTCATCCTCTCTCGTGAAGGTTCCTCACCGTGTGACATACCTAACTTACTTGTTTAGACTGTGCACCTCCATATGAATGGGAGTTCCATGGATACAGGGCTTTTTTGTTGTTGACTGCTATCTCCCCAACACGCACAACAGCACCTGACATAGAGTTGGCTCTTGATAAATGTTAGTATAAATAATCTTGCCGTGTGGTCATTTGTATGGCTATTTTTTTAGACATTTAAAATCTGGCTCAATATCAAAGAATCCAGTGGTGTTGCTCAAATTTCAGGTGACATTTAGCCGTTTTCACTTTTCAGCATAATTGACACAGAAAATATTAGCCGTCAAGCATGTTTCAGCGTCGATTCAGCTCTACTCATGCACACACGTTGAGAACTCTGATTTTGATTCTTAAAAGGAGTAGTTAAGCCCAGAGGACTTTTTACTTAGTGAGGAAGTCTTGAGCAACGAAGAAAACAAGATGATACTTTATTCGTATATGTACTGTGCAGGATGCACGAGGCACTTGAAAAATATTTGAAGGGATACCTTCATCACTGTCCTGAAAGTTTTCCATTAAAGCAAGCCAATTTTAGATTTGTACTTGGACACTCGGATTTGAAACTTACAGATAATAGTTCATCTGTAAAGATGAACCTGGTCGACATCATTAGGTTTATGCTTTAAACTTTGATCCCTGAAATAACTGAGGCAGAGGAATGCCTACCCCATCCCTGAACTGTATTTGAATCTTACCACACTACTATTCAGTTCCTGGAGCTCCAGGGTAATGTAATTCACCTGTCAGGCTGGTCATGCTTGCCTCTGTTGGTTCTGATTTATTCTGTAAGGCTTGTTATCGCTAATGCAGACTTACTGCCATTCAAAATGCCTCATGTTCCACAACTTGGCAAAATTTGCATCAGTAATGGGATGAAGACGTGTATTCACCTCTAGAGTTGTCAGGATTCTGTTCCTGCTGGCATTGTTTCATTCATTCCACCCTCAGCACATAATGGTAGTTTGAACTCTCAGGAAAAAAGAAATTAAAGGTGCTCTATTTCATTGTTTTCATTGCTAAACACATAAATAGAAGGAAGTTTGTGTGTGTGTGTGTGTGTGTGTGTGTGTGTGTGTGTGTGTGTGTGTAGATTGGTAGGTAGCTACCGTAACTTCTTTTTCTATCTTGTGATCTTAATTTTCACCACTTATTTCTTAGTATCTGAAAGAGGTTTTCTATGGTATATTACCATGAGACTCACAGAAATAGAGGCTCTTTGTCCTGTGCCCCTAAGCTCTCCACTCTGATGTTGACGTACAGCCTTACATCCACTGGGATAGGACTCTCTTTGCGGTGAACATTGGGCCAAGGATTGTTTGAGGTTACACTTTAAAAAAAAAAAAAAAAGGTGAAAACTTAGTAATGAATGCAGGATTATAATCGTAAATGAAGATCCCAGGGGCATAGACAAAAGGAGATAACAAGCATGTTTACGTCACTAAATCGCCGGCTGTCCAGTCATTTCCAAGTCCGATGTGAACCTGAGGTTGTCCTTAAGCATCTTCATTACTGTTGATCTGGAAGCAAGGTCTTGTTTTAGATGCAAGTGACACTGTCCTGAACGAATAGAGCTTGAACTTAAGAACATCAGAAACTTAGTTTGCAGAGACTTTGAGAGTTGCAAGTAATTTTGTTCTCAGTGAAGAAATCTCTCCCTTGCTGCAAATGTCTGAGGTGCGTTCCTGTCAACCCATGAACCATCATCAGTAGAGACATACAGATCGACATCATCTTCAAGAGGACTCCCTATCTCAGACGAGGACCGTCCATCCCTAATTCCTTTTTCTTCCAAAACATCCTTCTCCCCTCCCGTCAACAGATTCTTAAAAATGAAAAAAAAAAAAAAAAAACCACCAGAATTTCCCCTTTAGAAGTCTCCAAAAACACGATGATGATAAAGTAGGCCCGTGTAACAAAGAGGAAAGGAACATTACTCCCCAGTATCCTCCGTATCCACGGTCCTTAGAATAGTAATATTTCACTCCCTACATAGGTCACGTGCAACTTTTATTTCTCCCTATTTCATTGGACTTTAAAAGTACTTGAGTTTTATTTGTTACCTTTGGTTAAATGTCAAAGGAAAGAGTGGAGAAAACACCTCTGTCTCCGCTTCTTCCTTTCCTTCCTAAAGTGCATGCAAAATGTCACGTTCTTAGTTCCTTTCGTTGAACAGGCACACTGCAAGGGTCTAATAATTTTTTCATTACAAAGGAAAACATTTCACCTTTATTAATGGGGCCTAAGAAACTTAGGTCGATTTTATCTTGGCTTCTAAACAGGTAAACCATTTCCTTCTCCTAAGACCAGAGTATAGATCCCTGCATGGAGTTCTTCCCTTGAAGAAGTCATTCCCCAATTATTCAGCTTGAGGGGTTATTTTTGTTGATGTTATTTATGAGCGAACGGAAATGATTCTAAAATGACTTTTTAAACATTTCTAAAATTTTTTAAAAAATGTTTTTATTTATTTTTGGGAGAGAGAGCGCAAGCAGGGGAGGGGCAGAGAGGGAGGGAGACACAGCATCCGATGCAGGCTCTGAGCTATCAGCGTAGAGCCCAATGCGGGGCTCGAACCCACAAACCAGAAGATCACGACCTGAGTCAAAGTTGGACACTTAACCGACGGAGCCATCCAGGCACCCCTTATTTTGTATTTTATAGTAATCTCTGCACCCCATCTGGGGTTCAAACTCATGACCCCAAGATCAAGAGTCACATGCTTTACCGACTGAGCCACCCAGGCGCCCCAACTTTTTAAGTGGGACCGTGGGCTTTTTCTCAAAATGTCTGTTTTCCGTAAGCGTAACTGGCCATTGTTTGTGCTTGCTTTCGTTAAGGCGAGGAAGACCTGCTCAGTCCTCCCCAGGACACAAGCACAGGGTTAGAGGAAGTGATGGAACAGCTCAACAACTCCTTCCCTAGTTCCAGAGGTAAGGCCCACGACGTGCAAGTAACTCACACCTACTGGAATTAGGGCCCTCATTTCTGTACCCTAGCCCGCGTATTTCCCGTGTTTAAGGAGGCACTTGCTGACAGAGTGCCAGTCTGGGGTCATTGTGCGAAGAGAATATTGTTGAGTGTCGAGTTCTGGTTTGGATGACTGAATTGACTGGTTTTGGATGCTGGTTGAATTCAAACACCTGTATAATAGCGTTGTCTCTAGAAATCAGACTATCAACTCACACGTTATTTTACTTGCTTTGCGCATCAGTCTGAAGCGTTAATTATGAAATAAGATAGTTTATTCTTAAGAGCAACGATGATGTGACTTTTACAAAGAAATTCACGCCCCAGTGGCACCTTTGCCGGGACACACAGTCGATACGCGCGATATGGTGAAATCCAGAACGTGCTTAGTATATGGTTGGGCAAAAAAAAAAAAAAAAAAAAAAAAAAAAAAAAAAAAAAAAAAAAAAATTTAAAAATTGTATCTTACCCCATTTGTTAAATACAGGTACAGTGAACTCTTTGTATGCTACTTTGTTGTTGACTTCACTTTCCTAGGTGGAATACCATCTCTGTAAAGAAAGATGTTAATTCTATTAATGCCTCTATTTCTCACCGTCACTTTGACCTTGCGTATCTTGCCCCTCCTATAAAAGCAGCATTTTACCCCCGCCAGATTTTCCCACTAGCCTGTAGGAGCTTCAGATGTCTTCCTAGCATTTGGGAGTGATTGTTTTACTTTATTGCTGTGACATAAACCAGAGTCACTGACCCACCTCCCTTCAATGAATAAAAAGAATGGCTGCAGTCACCTGTAAGCAAGTAGATGGAACACCTCGACAAGCCAAAGCGGAGGACACACGTCTCGGTGGGCAGGGATTGGCATCCCTCGTGGGCAGCCCCGGAGGGAAGGGCAGCAGAGAATCTGGCTGTTTGTTCCTCTCCATAAGGGCCACGAGGAGGGTATTTTGAGTCCTGTGTTTTTCTGATCTTGTTGTTCAGTGTCCGCTCCCGGTGGCCGGGTCCTGGCTCTTTGCTGTACGCGTGAACGTTGCACGGTGCACATTAAAAGCACTGATGTTCTGATAGAGCGTTGCTAAGGAACTGTTGGGGGAAGCTAATTTTAAATGTCTGCACCAGCCATCTTTTCCCCGCTGAGTGCCTCTGATGTGTTGATTTTAACACCTAAAAATCTCAGCTGTCTTCCACCCACCACCCCCACCTCCATCTTGACTATCTTAGCTGTCTTTTGTCCCTAGATGCCATGGTTCACGAGAAGACCACATGTTGGTTTGATGTAAATCACATGCTCTCCCTTTTAGCCCGTCAGCTTTTACCGGCACCTGACTTTGGACCGCTGGAGGTGTTAGGGATGCAAAGAAATGCCAGATTCCTTGCCCTCGAGGCGCTTACGGTCAACTGTGGACTTCCGAAGTTCACATTATAGTATTACTGCTCTGACCTAGGGCTCTAGGACATGAGGGAATCCCAGAGGCACCCTTTTGGATAAGAGGGGTTAGCCTCAGGCACAGCGAGGGTCTTTCTCAAGTTCACACAGCCAGAACTTTGGGCCCCACACGTAGCACACATTTCGTTGACGCCATCCTATCCCTTGAAGGTCACAGATGGCTTCCTCGTCCCAGACCCTTAAAATGAAAGCTCGCTTACCTGCTCTGGGGGAAGTTGGTGGCTGCTTCGTTGATGCCCTGGGCATTTTTTCCACATTTAAACTAGAGTCGAGTGGAGGCCATAGAAGGGCCCATGGCCCCGCTTCCCTTCAGGCAGCCTTTGTGTCCTGGGCCTGTGGCCCATCCGAATTATCTTTAAGTCCTTTGCACACTCTCCCTGCATCCCCCCTTTTAGTGCATGAAGCTAGATACCACTTGGGTATGGAAGAAGCCGTCTGGAAAAGGGCAAATCTACCTCCTCCGATTTATGTGGTAGTTAGCACCTCTGACATTAAATTTCCTTCTGTGATGGTGATCTACTTCTGTGGAGCCTTGGGGGAGCTTTAGGCCACCCCGATAGTGTTTACTCACTTTGCGCTTAGAGAAGCATACCTTCCACCGAGCGCTGATGTGAGTTCTCAGAGGATAAGGAGGCTTTGTCTGACCAATTCCCTTAACTGAGTTCCTACCTAATAGTAGGCCGGTAGCCTGAGAGAAGTCATTTATTTTCCTGAGGAAAGCAATCAAGATCTGGCCGTTCTTTCTGTGATGCTGTTATCTTGACTTCTTTTTTTTCTTTTTTTTTTGCTACTTCCTGCCACGTTAGGCCTTACCACTGAGCCCCTACTATCGCGCACCCATTTCCAGCGTGTGGGGGTTCCTCTCACGGCGCCGAGCAATTTGGACACCACCTACCCAGAGAGAGCATCACATGCCACAAGTTTAGGGCTTCTGACCCACTGTAGACTTAGGGGCTCCAAAGAAATAAAGAAAAAAAGATAATTAAAGGGTGTGGAGGGTGCCGTGCGCTCTCGGGGTGCGCTGCCCTCCCAGGACCTCCACTGTTCACCAACCCAAGAAGTTCTCCCTCCCCCTGGGTTTTTAGGGAGGCTTCATTCCAAAGGTGTGATTGATCACATCATTGTCCAGTGGTGAGGCAACCCAGTCTCCAGCACCCCCAGTTTCCCTCCCCGGAGGTCAGGGGGTAAGGCTCAAAGTTCCACCCCCCCCCCCCAAACCCAGGGTTGGCTTCCCTGGGACCCAGCCCCTATGTTTAGGTGTTTTCCTAGACTTGCCTCATTACTTCAGAGGAACTTTCAAAGGTTTTAGGAGCTCTGTGCCCTGAAAGGGAATTGAGGCCTAATACGCATTTCTTCATTCTAAATCGCAGTATCAAGGCTTGTTTCCCTCAAGTTCAACTGGATAAAAAGTCTCATCATTAGAAAACTAGGATGGAAAATATATATACGGTAGGTTTTAGTGGGCGCATCTTACCAGCGAGTAGGTATGTTGGGTTGATACCGAGAAGAGCATTTTGAGCCCTAACATCTCAGGATTACAGGCTCTCCTACGTGGAAAGGCCTCAGAGGGTCATTTGAGCACTTCTGCTAACCACAGCAGTGGCTTTTGACCTTTTTGACCACTCTCTATAGTAAGAGAAACATTTCACATCTCAAACTGGATTAAGGATATAAGATACATTGGATGTGTGTATATGTGTACAGAAACACATACGTATACACCATGTATATATGCCACAGATATATGTGTCTGGTCACATATACGTACGAAGATCAGCAAAGTTTCGTGAAGCACTGCTTCCTATACTACGTAGGACGCACACCGTGTCTCTGCATCAAAATCAAATGCTGGCTGCAACCCACTAAACTGATTTTCGGACGCAGTGGTTTAAAGAATACCAATCCGGGGCGCCTGGGTGGCGCAGTCGGTTAAGCGTCTGACTTCAGCCAGGTCCCGATCTCGCGGTCCGTGAGTTCGAGCCCCGCGTCGGGCTCTGGGCTGATGGCTCAGAGCCTGGAGCCTGTTTCCGATGCTGTGTCTCCCTCTCTCTCTGCCCCTCCCCCATTCATGCTCTGTCTCTCTCTGTCCCAAAAAAATAAACGTTGAAGAATACTGATCCAAGTGATCTCAGTTTTCCTTGCCCAGATGAACATCTTTTTTGAAAGAAAGTTACACTTATTTGAAACATTTTACCATGGAAGTTTCTGCCAAGATCTTCCTAATAGCTTAGAGGACGCTGTACTTTTACTCTGAGTCGGCCACCCGTGTTCCCATTGCTGTGTTAGGATGAATGAAGTTCACGGTTGCTACAGCTGTTTCGGACAGCTGTCTGGGTAACTCGGGACAGATGCCGGAGCCAGAGGTCTGACATTTAGTGGAAATGCGCTGTTAACTACCACCTCGTGGTTTACTTAACCCTGCTAGATAATTGCCACCAGGGGAAAAGACTTTTTCAATAGAATAGTATGTTTTTCATAAATGTAACGCATATAGAGAGGGGAGTTGTTTTGCATTATACGTTTACAGCTTTTTTGTTGCCGTTGGCCACAGTTTTGACTTCAGGCTCAAGTCTCAAGGTATCCACTAATCCTCACCTCGCCTTCTCACCACAAGTACCCGGAAGCCCAAAGTGCCTTGCTCATGGCCACTCACCAAGTGAAATTAGGCTCCTGATCTTACCTCGCTGGCCTTGCTGAACTGTTACCCGAATCAATCAGGGGGTTACATGCCCCTTCGGCTCGTGAAAAAACTGCTAGCCAGCACTGGCCTGCCTCCTAGCCAATATAAATTTCAGGGCGTTCAAGGTGTGAACCTGTGCATGTTTAGCTTTGTGGTGATATCTTTCCTGATGAATCTCGGGATATAGTTAGTTATTCACAACCACTTGAGGGATTTGAGCGGCTCAGTGTATATTAAACACAGAACGTTAGCCAACTTCTATCGAATCTCTCTATCTACCAATAAGGTGTCCCTCCATCTGTTAAGTATCTGTAGAAGTGGAATTCCACTGTAATAAAAATCGTTATCTACTATAAGACACTTTCTGATTCTCCACCATTATTCTATAGGAACGGTACATGGGTAGAATGAACAACAAACATCATTTAAAAATAAACAATTTCAGTGATTCGCCCCTATGTCTCTGAGCATCTCACATCCTAACAAAAGTGTTTTTCTATGTATGTGCATTTACGGAAAAAATGCTTCCCTTGTCAGTGGTATGGGATTGGCTTCTCTAAAAATGGGGTGCCGCTCTATACTAATTAACGAACGATAGGATTCGCGATAAGCTCGTACTGCAATAAAGACAATTTACAGCACAGTTAACAGTGCTGTGCAGGCATTTCTGCTGCCTGTACAGTCTCGTACCTGCTGACCTGTGTGCCGCGTTTTTACCCCCAACGTCCACGCCATCCCCTCATGTTACCCAGCCCTCCATAAAGCCCACACGCATTCTGTCAGATGCCTCTAAATTAGCAACCCAACAGCTTTACAAAACCTGCCATCTTCTCAAATTCAAGTCTTGTCTGTGGTTCTTTTATGCAGGAACAGCATAAAAACGGAAGCATTCGTGTGCCCCCTTTCAGGCACCACTCTGTTTCCCTTTAGCTTCCGTGCATTTTGAGCCATTAGCCCTTTGTATACCACGGGCCGACAAACTACAGGCTAGGAGCCAAACCTGGCCCACTACCTGTTCTTATAAATCAAGTTTTATTAGAACAGAGCTATACCCCTTCACTTAGGCTCTATCTATGGTTGCTTTCTCACTCCAAGGGCGCAGTAGTTGCGGCAGAGTTGAACATTTGCTAAAGAGACTGGGTGGCTTGCAAAGCCTAAAATATTTACCGTCTGGCCCCTGACACGCACAGCTTGCCGACCCCTGCCTTACACTGTTGCGGTCCATTCTAAGCTCATTACATACGCACAGTTAACACACTTCGGTGCTGGTCAAGTTTCAGCTCAACAGAACTGTGCTTGTGGATGGACGTGTGTATTTGTGTCCACGTTCACCAGAGACCACACGTGCTTTAAGACTGAAAGTATAGCCGTTTGAATCTTCTTTCGCTTGTGATACAACAGGAACCCTAAAAAGGGGCTCGTTCTTCCTGAGCTCTTTAAAACAGTTGGTAAACTGAGATTACAAAGCTTTAGTTACCCCCAAAGTGGTAACGTCTTGGGATTCTGACCCTAAATGATGAATCATCTCAGATTCATACTGCGTAAGGAAACTTGACTTCTCCAGACCCGACCGGGCCCTTTACTCAGACTCAGGACTCCCCCAGTGTACTTCCTTTTACTCCTGATTCATTTCCTGGCAACATATCACAGTGCCAGATGGACAGCCTAAGTGAAGGTTTTAGGAAACTCATTTCCGAAGAATGTATTTGTGAAATAAAACTTATCTGGCACTTTTATTTATTATTTATTTTTACCGGTAGAGAATATTTTTAAGCGGTGCAGCCAGTTAGCCTGTATTTTGTCACTGAAGAAACTAGTCCACTGCAGTGGAAAACGTTATTTGTTTTAACTTTGTTTAAACAAAAAGCGGAACTTCCTTTTGTACTGTGGGAATGAGCACATCGGGACCCAAGCGATGAGGGCGGATTGTGAAAGAGATTCGGATTGACGTAGCTCTGGAAGGTCCGTTGTACGTGAAACGTGGTTTCTGAAGAAGTGCCCGAAGCAAAACCCAAGTAATTTGCTGCATATTCGGTAATGACCAGCAGATACCAAGCTCTGAATATGGCTTGGCGTAGAATAAAGACAGGTAACCCTGGGGCGCCTGGGTGGCGCAGTCGGTTAAGCGTCCGACTTCAGCCAGGTCACTATCTCGCGGTCCGGGAGTTCGAGCCCCGCGTCGGGCTCTGGGCTGATGGCTCAGAGCCTGGAGCCTGTTTCCGATTCTGTGTCTCCCTCTCTCTCTGCCCCTCCCCCGTTCATGCTCTGTCTCTTTCTGTCCCAAAAATAAATAAACGTTGAAAAAAAAAATTAAAAAAAAAGACAGGTAACCCTTATCACTCTAGGAACCATAATTACATTCTGAGACTAAATCCCGTTACCTTCTAACGGCAGTCTTTCCTAAGGCTCTTTAGTTTTAGAAATAGACCCAAGTTACAAGCCAGTATAAGTTACCAGCCCTTGGGACGCAAGTTAAACGGTAATGGGCAAGGCCAAGTTGCCTAAAACACCAAAGAACTCTTGACCATGATCTCGTGGCTACCTAACCAATTCATTCCAGCCCGTCTTTATCAGATGCCCATAGTGTTGGGGTGCAGAAGTTATTGGAGCTAGAGAGGACGGCTAAGCCACATATGGGCCCTGCCCTCAAGGACTCACAGCCCTGTAGGGGAAGGTAATAAATTCTACCAGCAGACAGTATAACCATGAAATAGAAAGATTAGAAAACAAAAAACTTGCTCAAGGAGTCCAAAGCAATGGATGAGTCACTCATGCTGGGACTCTTTTGAACTATCAAGAAGGAAATGAGGTTCTCTTCCCTCTCCTTTTTCCTGTCATCTGGTCTGGGCCTACCACGGGCAACACCCACTGCTGAGGAGCCAGTGCCCTTTTTTCCCCTCTTCCCTGCTTTGAGGAACGTCATGAATACCTTGGCCGTGCTTACGTGGTCGAGCGTGCCGTTTTCATACTTGTAAGAAATCTCGGAGTCACGTGGGAAAATTCAGAACGAAGGAAAAGAGGGAGGGAGGAAGGGACGGAGAGTCCTACTTAGAGAACCTGTAAATGCGTACTAGAGGTTTTAGACCCTGACCTTGAATTTGGAACGATTTCTTTTGGAATAGAAGTTCCCGACTTCTTTGGTCTGCACGAGTAGTCCTCACATCGTTGTGGGGTGTTTCGGTCCTTGCGGCCCCTGAGCATGGTGGACCCCGGGGGAAAGGAGGTGGCGTACTAGGGGTTCTCGTGGCTCCGTCCTACATTCTGGGATTTCACGTCAGGCTGTCGCAAGATGTGTCTCACTGCTCAAGTCGAAGTTTGAAAACCAGTATTTCACCCGGAGGCCCTCGTGGTCAGAGGAAATTGCAAGCCCAAGACCTGCTGGGTATGGTCAGAGGTCCCGAATTTTCTGTCCACTTACCGATGTTATCATACAAGATTTTATCAGAACCTGCTCTCCAAAACTAAGCATACCCATGGAGGATTCCATAAAACAAACAAGGCGACTGGGTCTTTAGCCACTGACTCAAGGCGCCTGCTACCTGTCGAATTATGGGGAGGAAGTTGAAGGCTCATTCCTGGATCTGGCTCTGTGGCTTGCCCGTTAGTGGGGCTCCTCTCCTTCCCCCCCACCCCCCCCCGCCCTTTTTTCCCTTCTCTTTTCTCAAACGCCCCCCCCCACCCCACCCCCATCATCCTGGGCATGCTCCGCCTCTGCCACACAGAACAGATTGTCCCAAGGGGATGGAGTCTCGCCTCTGTGGCGTTTTGCCTCGCACTTGGGGTGCAGACTTTTGGGACACACAGTCAGCTGCTGTTCACATCCCAGTAAGTTGTGAAGTTGAGAGTGAAGACATGGGGATTTTTGGATGTGCAGCTTGAGGTTCTAAAGCCGTCCTTGAAAACAAGGCTCACTTAGTCAGATTTCTCCGCTGTGCTCGCTTCCATCCAGTTTAACACATGAACTCTATGGATTCTGTAAGTGATGTCTCCTGGATCATGTTATCTGTTTACACTGATTTTAAGTGTATGTAAAGGTTATTTGACTGGATGTGTCTTTCGGATTTTTTTTTTTGTTTTGGTTTTTATTTTTTTCCAGAAGGGAATAAATGAATTGTCATCTCAACATTTGTTTGGTAAAAGCAGCAAAACGGGTATGAAACTGTTTATTTATGCATTTTTTTCCTTTCTGATATCTCTGCCTCTTCCTCTCTCCCGTTATTAAAGGAAGAAATACCCCTGGGAAGCCAATGAGAGAGGTTAGTGAGATTCAGGCTCACGGCCATGGCTTCTGTGTGTCTCATCACGCTTTCTATGTTTGGCGCTTGTGTAAGAATTGTGTGTGTGCACGCGCATGTATGTACTACAATGTGTCATCACGTAAGGATGGTAGTCACCTCTCCACTTGCAGCTCATGAGGAACATTCTTCAAATGTTCACTGCCATTGTCATCACCATGACGACAGGAGCAGGGGTTGGGGGAGCAGGAATCTCTCTAAAATGGCAGCCCTGTGTGGTCCCCAGGTTGGAGTCCTGGGGTTCATCGTCTCTCGCCATTTGTCACATGAACAGAATCCTCAAAACAATGAATTTAGCCTTGAACATAACCGATGAGTCGTGAAGTTTCTGTCTACTTCCAGGACCTTAGCATTTTCTGCCAGCGCCCTTGGTTTTTATTCTTCCAGAATGAGTTCGTTTTGTTTTTGTTTTTCTTTTTCCTCATCCCTACCCTCCTTTCGCACTTCAGCTAACTTTTTTTTTTTTTTTTTGAGCACTTACTGGGCCAAGCACTGTTGTAAGCACTTGCCATCTTTTTCATAGTGTAATCTTCATGACAAACCTCTGAGGTAGGTACTCTTATTAACCCCATTTTCCAAATAAGGAAACTGAGTCCGTGAGAGAGTAAGTAAGCAGGGTGTTCCAAATGACAGAGCCAGAATTTGAATCCAGGCAGTCTGGGTCCAGAGCCACACTCTCAGTCTTAATCGCCGCCTTAGCAAATGGTGTTTGAAAGGCTCGTGTCATCGCAACTAGCCCTTTCGAGAGTGCGCTTTCTTTCCCTGGCATTTGGAACCAGATAGAACATGTCCAAGGAGGGATAAAAAGTGAATGTTGGAGCCTTGAGGCTTTTTCTCAGCGCCTATTGATGGGTTCGAAGCGGGTAAGATACAGTATTATCACTGAACGTGGCTTGAGATGTGACAGGCAAAGCTCCTCCATACTTCTGTCAGAAACATTGTCTCAACATTGCATTACCTGATCAGCGGCTATTGGAGGACAGTGTTGAGTGACAGCTCAAGTGAAATAAGCTTGTCCTTACCTAGAGTTTAGCGTTGAAGGATGGGAGAAGGAAAGGTCCTTGATGGGTAGCGCTAACCTATGCTGTTCCGGGACACGGGCTGGACAGGTAGAGAGTTCTCATGTGAGAAGATTCTAGATCCTTAGCAACAGGATAGCCAAGAGTCATCCCGGATTCATTTAAACATAAGGAGTCATACTGGAAAGTCTGCCAACACCATGCCATGCAAGTCTAACGAATTGAACGGTCCTTCCGTGTGTCTGTACCCATGCTTTCTTCCAAGGCTTGGGACAGTGGGGTCCTGGGGGGGGGGGGGAGTGGCAGGCTGGGAGGAGAAACTGAGGACACCTGAATTGGTGAAGCAGTGAATGCTCCTGACCGTTTGCCTGGCTCACATACTTCTTAGGTGAGGCTTCTTGGGTTCATTCTTATGGTAAGTGCCCCTTACGATTTATTTTGACGTGCTATGAAAAGTTGCACCTTAATTTTGACCACCCTGAACGTGTTTCTCTCGTGAATGAATTTTACAACAGGCCAGCAATACTTATCATTCGAGTCACACAGGCATTTGGAAACTTTACTACCTGAGTTGTATATTCGAGTCAGACAAGTTTCCAGAAATCCAGAGAACCAAAGTGATTTTTTAGTGCTACCAAAATGACCTCACATGGACAGTAGATTAGATATTTTTTTCAAAGAGTAAATTACAGAGAAGAAAAACACGAATTTCAGTGCAGTATTCTGGCCTTGCTGTGGCCAACTGAATGCGAACCATTTATTTGGGAACTGTATTTTTAACAAATAGGGTGCCAGATTGCTATTGAGGTCTTGGATCTCTGCCAGAAAGTCTCAGTTCCAATCACTGTGAAAAACAACTCCCTCCGGCCGTGGTGGCTCGTGAGACTAAATGTGTTGTGGTTAGCGCCAACTTGGAAAAACATGGCGACCGCCCTAATGTTCGATGCATGGTGCCTTTGTGTTCAACAATCCTTGCTTAAGAATGGATTAAATTAATACTTTCTACAGACGTATTTTTATGTCACCTTGTGCCTGAAGCTGACTGCAAACCCCTAAATCCTGCCTGCTTTTCAGTGCCCCTCACGTTCCTGTCAGGTAAAATTAATGACCTCACTAATGTTCTGCCTTCCACACATGGATAATAGAACCAGGATCCAAATCTGTTTTCTGTATCCCTATCAAGCTGTAGTTTTATGCCTCCGGGGGATTGAGTTATGATTCTTTGGGGCAGTATTTTGTCAAAGAGATAGAATTTTTTTTTTTTTCTGGCTCTAATGAAAACCTCCATGAAAAACATTGCAGTCATTACTCTGCTGAAACAGGTATTTGTAAATAAAGTAACCAAAGGCAGAATACAGATACAGTGAGGGGACTCTGAACGTTCTTCATTTTTCTAGCACAGGGACAGCCGTGAGGGCACTTGTGAACCTTGTAGACCGTCCAGACAGGTTAAAGGCCACCTGGCGTTTTGTGGGCGTGTGCGTGGTGTATTTAAGAGTAATGAACGTCTCTTTTACCTAGTAACTTTTTAAAGAGCAGACACCCCTAGAAGTGATGCCTCTGGAGAGTCTCGAGAATTTGCCTTCCGGGTAGTAAACTGAACACCATTGCAAGGAGTAGGAGCGGCACGGACGTGGCTGTATAATCCACGAACGCATTTCCTCTCGAACTGCAGTCCATGTTCCCTAGCCCGCAAGCTAAAGTGAAATAGGTACTTTTTGATTATGATCAGTAAGCCAGCTGGGAAAAGGAGTTCTTCCCTGTTCGGTTTGTGTTTTGTAATACATGTTCTGTCTCCCAGGTGGGCTAGCCCCTAGTTGGATGTGGGTAATGAGAAATAGTTTGAGTTCTAGTCACTTACCAGGTTGTAAGGGTCTCAGGTTTGGTTTTTCCTGGCCTCATTAATAGCTGCCAAGACTGCAAGTAATTGAAAACTTGCAGGTAGTCCACACGAGTGATTGGGTAGATCTCCCTGGGTTTCCCGGCATTCCAAAAGAGATACGAGGGGGCCGCTGGGTGGCTGAGTCGGTGAAGCGTCCGACTTCGGCTCAGGTCGTGATCTCGCGGCTCATGGGTTCGAGGCCCGCGTCAGGCTCTGTGCCGACAGTGTGGACCCTGCTTGGGATTCTCTGTCTCCCTGTCCCTTTCCTGCTCTCTCAGAATAAATAAATAACCTTAAAAAAAAAAAAAAAAACAGATACAAGGGAAGCCCTTCAACCTGGCAGCATCAGTTAAGTGTCTGTGCTCTAAGGAGCAGCCAGGGGCCCACCGTGTCCTCCAGCGGTTTGTATGGTTTAGAAAAACCAAAGCTGATTTCCGTTCCTCACTGAGGACTGCCACACTGCTGGCTCACTCGAGGAACGGTACGCCTGCTTTGCTCCAGGTTTTTCTATTTGCAGCCTCAACCAACATCCAGAGTGTTTTGTTTTTGTTTTTTTTTTTTTAAACAGCCAGTTCTCATTGGAACTCTTCGCGTTAATACAAAGCTCCCCAAGAGTTACAAACTTCATCACCTCCAAGTCAATGGCAGAATGGTGTTCAATTTGTTCTAAGTCTTAACTTGATCTGGAGCCATCGCTGGGCAGGTGCCTGCCTGTAAATCCTCCGCAGACCCCTCCCCCTTGCTCTCATGTAAAAAAATTTTTTTAATGTTTATTTATTTTTGAGAGAGAGAGAGAGAGAGAACGTGAGCAGGAGAGGGGCAGAGAGAGAGGGAGACACAGAAGCCGAGGCAGGCTCCCGGCTGTGAGCTGTCAGCACAGAGACCGATGTGGGGCTTGAACTCAACAACCTCAAGATCGCGACCTGAGCGGAAGTCGGACGTTGAACTGACTGAGCCACGCGGGCGTCCCTCTGTCATGTGGATTTTTAAAATGCTGTGTCTCTTGAAATAAATATGAGAGCAGAACACCTGCCCTAGTCTATCTTTAATGTGTACAGGGATGCTAACACTGATGAGAATGTATATTAAGTTGATACATGGCAAAGTAGTAATAGCCTAGTAAAGCATTTTTAGTTCCAAAGGCAGTGCTCCAAGAGTACGATGATTTAGTAATGTCCGCGAATTAAAATTAGCCACATGAAAATATGGGACACGTATGAAAAGGCAAGTCATAAACTCGGTCTCAAATGATCTGACTCTACATCTGAATTTGGCCACAGAGTACCAGAGACACTGCAGCTTTTGTGCTCCCTGCTGGGGGATTCCTGTTAGGTCATGTCACATTACTACTAAAAGGCTGTTCTGATAGTCAACCCTCATTGAGGAGGAGAACAAAAAATGCATTCACAGGATCCCCCAATCCATGCTTTGCATGGGGGTCGGATCATAATTAGGCTTGAGAGCAATGTGGAATGAAAAGGGATTTTTTTTTTTTTAAGAAGAAGCTTCCAGATTCAAAGGTTCATATCCCAAAAGGTTGATTCCAGAGTTTGTTTTCCAATTCCAGTAAAAGCAGAGAGCAAACGGCCTCCTCTCCCGTGGCCTCGGAAGGAGGCAGCGGCTGGAGACGGCACGGAAATGAAGACTCCATGTCTTGGTCACGGTGGTGGCGATGATAATGGCAAAGGCGGTAGATAGAGTCATGGTGGCAGCGGAGGTAGTTGGGGTGGCGGTGGTTTGGGAATACAAAACTTTGAGTACAAGGACACAGTACGACATCTCCCGCAACAAGGTGGAAAAGGGACACCCCGTCATGCAACACTCCTGTTATCAAGGGAACCTTGTGCTTCCCCGTGCAATCCTTTTGCTAGATCCTTCCATGGGGAAGATGAGTGCACTCGCTGACACTCGTCCACGCAAACGACCCCAGTAGCCTGATCCGGTAGTAAGCCGATACTAACCACGCAGAATGGCTTCATTAACAAGGCTTTGCTTCTTCCGGGAAAGTGGTGACAAATCCAATCGTGTCGTGTAGACCTCGATGCGGCTTCTGTGTTGTCTTCACCTAGAAGTGGGGAAGGATTTCCCGAACGGCAGAGAGTCAGGCTCCTGTTCCCTGCACCTAGTGTCAAGTCTTTCTCTCTCTTTGTTTTCCAGGACACAATGTAGGAAGCCTTTTCCACTTGGCAGATGATTTGGGCAGAGCGATGGAGTCCTTAGTGTCAGTCATGACAGATGAAGAAGGGGCAGAATAAATGTTTTACAACTCCTGATTCCCGCATGGTTTTTATAATATTCATACAACAAAGAGGATTAGACAGTAAGAGTTTACAAGAAAAAAAAAATCTATATTTTTGTGAAGGGTAGTGGTACTATACTGTAGATTTCAGTAGTTTCTAAGTCTGTTATTGTTTTGTTAACAATGGCAGGTTTTACACGTCTATGCAATTGTACAAAAAAGTTATAAGAAAACTACATGTAAAATCTTGATAGCTAAATAACTTGCCATTTCTTTATATGGAACGCATTTTGGGTTGTTTAAAAATTTATAACAGTTATAAAGAAAGATTGTAAACTAAAGTGTGCTTTATAAAAAAAAAAGTTGTTTATAAAAACCCCTAAAAACAGACACACACACACACACACACACACACACACACACACACTTGGAGGCAGCGCATTGTTTTGCATCGTTTTAGCGTGATATCCATATGAAATCCATGTTTTCTTTTCTTGCATATTAAAGATAGGACACTTCCTCTAACACCACCAGATGATTACTTCACAGTGCTCTTTTTGGAATCGCTGGCCAAGTGGGACTGGCTGTGGTTTTTCGCTTCCTGCATCTATATGTCTAGAAGTATGTAAATACTGTAGGGATATAGATCTGAATTTCTGGAGATCTTTGAAATTTCTTGTTCAAATGACCTGGCCACTTCCTAATGCAAAGAGATTGCCTCTGGTCCCGCAGGCTTACCTGCTTGGTCTAGAATGAATTCTCCCTGGAGCCTGAAACCAGGGGGCAGCTACCACACTGAAACACTGTCTGGGGCCCCAGATGTTTCTCATTTGCAACTTTCCACTGACAGCGACGGTACCGAATTTTTGCAAAGGGACATGTGAATGAATACACAGGACTTACTGTGTCCGAGTGATCCGTTAGCTGATACATTCAGCTTCCGGCCACTGGCAAGGCCACCATCTACATTGAATGATGCTTCAGCGCAAGTCACGACATCAGAAGATATTTTTCACTCGCAGACAGTAGGCAATCCTTCTGGTAGGGCTGGAAGGCAGTGGATTGCCAGCCGATCCCTGCGAGGGAGGGAGGCCACTCTTGAAGTAAAGGGCTGGATGAACGTTCCTAACCACACTGAGAGATCTTGGTAAATACAACGAATTCCCTCTGCCCTCTTCCCACAAACAGCAGTGGTTATTTTAGGGTTTTTTTTTTCTTTTTTTTTTTTTTAAGGACTTTCCCCATTGCAGTGAGTTTTTAAATGCCACAAGACTTCATTTAAAATAACCCTCGGGAAAATGTGTAAGACAGCCTCATCACGGTGTGTTACTGTTAAATATCCACCCACAAGCCCATGAACTTGGTTGCCCTACTTCACATTTCTCTACAAGCAATTCCACGCAGGTTTGTAAGGGGGAACGGAGACGGATTCGCGTGTTCCGAAAAGTACTCCAAACCCTTGGCTGGTGGATGAGGAAGGTTAACGATACAAAGATTGTTCAAAAAGAATAACCCAAGAGGACTAACTGGTAGGAACAAGCTTTACTCTTTCGTGTTCTTAGCCTTTCATTTTTTTTTTAATCATTCATTCAATAGAAATCACCATGTGACCTATTATTTTGCAAATCTGTTACCTCTTAGGTCAAGTGTTAACTTTTGGGGAGTGGGTTTTGTGTATTATTTTATTAATGATAATTAACATCCAACATGGCTTCTCATGCTATTTCTACCTCACTTTGGTTTTGGGGTGTTCCTAATAATCGTGCACACATGCTTTCACCCACTTGTCTCCTGTGTCAACATTTTTCTCGATTTTTCCCCCCATTGTAACTTCCACAAGAAAACCCAAAGCTCTAAGGTAACAAAACGACCTGAAGATTCGGTTTTAGTCTTGCATCTTTTCCTTTATGTGACACTGGACTTTTTCCTTCACCCACAAGTTTGGTTTTTTTGTTTGTGTGTTTGTTTAACCATGATTAAAAACAAGGGGTTGTGTTCCTTCCTACTAAGCGGTTTTAAGTTTCCTTCTAAAAGCAGAGGTAAATAGAGTGCATAATTTTATTTTAATCTTTTTGTTTTATCTTTTAGACATTAGTTCTGGAGTGAGTCTGTCAAAATATTTGAATAAAAATTGAGAGCTTTACTGCTACATTTTAAGCATAATTTGGACATTACTTCGTGTTCTTTATAACCACCAAGTATTAAACTGTAAATCACAATGTAACTGAAGCATAAACATCATGTGGCACGTTCTGTCATTGTTTTCAGGTACTGGGTTCTTACTTGAGTATCATGATAGATTGTGTTTTAACACCAACACTGTAACATTTACTAATTATTTTTTTAAACTTCAGTTTTCCTGCATTTTCACAACATATCAGACTTCACCAAATATATGCCTTACTATTGTATTATATTACTGCTTTACTGTGTATCTCAATAAAGCACGCAGTTATGTTACAAAAAAAACAAAGTGTTGAGTGGGGTGCTTTGTTTTTCGTTGTTAAAGATGTAATACAGTCACATGGTTGACGAGTGAAAAAATCGAGAAAGCCAAATGGTGAAAATCCCCTATTCCCAAGCCATCCACACTGGCCTGTGAGTGAATGTTGCTTTCTTGTGTATCTTTCCACACTACCATTATCGAGAAAGCAGTTAGCAAAGATCTGTGCCTCCTTATGTGTTTTTCCCGCACCTAAGATCGCTTTCTATGCACCCAGTTATATACCTTGCTTTTATGGGCTCAAGAGAGCCAGCCACTCTTAATTATATTGAAACAATTTTTTCCATTTCAATATATCAAATGCTTTCTCGTTTGTTTTTTTTTTTTATAGGTGTCTAATAATATCCCAGTGTATGTTAGTGGGATAGTATTTAGGCTGTCCTCTTTGCGAGGATATGTGGGTTGTTTCCAGTCTTTTCCTGTGACACAGAGTCCTCTACATCTTCCATTTCGTCAGGACACCTGTGCAAAACTTGGGCCGGGGGACACATTCCTGTAGCTGAGATTTCTCGATCAAAGGCGGCATTTGCTTCTCGCGACACTTCCTCACAGCTGAAGGGTAGTCTGAGCGACGGGGGTCCCACCTAAAAGGGTACCTCAGAACTGGTTCTGGGGAGGATAGCCCTCCTACGCCCAAGTCACGATCACCACAGAAGGAGAGCCCCTCACCCCTGCCCCAACTGCAGAGGAGGCTAGTGAAAGGAGTAGCCCATCAGCTCCCCTTAGGTCGGGTCCCTTTTGCCTCTGCCCAAGATTCCCGGAGCGGAGTTCCCCAGCAGGGTTCACATGGCAGACAGAGGTCCAAAGACATTGCAAAGCACACTCTGGATGTAACAGGAGATGGTCAAGCTTCTTAAGAATGATACCAAGAGAGGGGCGCCTGGATGGCCCAGTTGGTTGAGCGTCTGACCCTTGATCTTGGCTCAGGTCACGATCGCACAGGTTGTGGGTTCAAGCCCCACGTCGGGCTCTGCACTAACAGCACAGAGCCTGCTTGGGGTTCTGCCTCTCCCTTGCTCTCTGCCCCTCCTCCGCTCGCAAATGCTCCGTCTGTCTCAAAGTACGTAAATAAACTTTAAAAAATAAAAGGGACGATACCGAGTAAGTATGGCATCTCTGATAGGAATCGCTGCTCAGTTTCTCCAGGTGGGCTGATGACACCGGCCTGAAGGCCACATACACCGAGACTAATTTTCACCGTATTGCCATCAATCATTTATTCCTCCCACCATAACCTCCCCAAACCTGCGTTGGTTTCAGAGACTGGCTGTTTTGATGGACGACTGCACAGGGGGGACTGTGAGGAGGGCGTTTGGCTCTCCGCTCTCCGCTGGGCACAGGCTGGCAGAGAGGGAATCGTTTCGCTTACAATGCAGAATGGATCACGCTGGTGCAGATTGTGCGCGAGCAAGCAAAATGCGTGTTTGGGGGAAAGTACCAAGACGAGTGGCTGGCTGTCTTCTGTGGAGCCGAGCTGGGATCTCCCTGATTTTGCAATCCTCTGACGGGGGAACGAATACACAAACCGGCGCGGTGCACGTGCAAAGACCTCCCTTCCGATGAAGGGTAGCAAGGACGTGCCTCGGATTCTTTCCCACGGTAGCAAAGCCCGCAGAGTGGGAACCACAAACACATTCTCCATCACTCCTTGGGCAGCAGCGTGCCGGGAGCTCATGAACTCCCTTGATAACCTTGAGCAACACATCTGAGTTTCCATACGAAACAATATCCTGTGAGTGTGGGAAGGGGGGGGGGGATGTCCGAGCGTGGCTTTCATAGGCAACAAAGATTACGTAGGGTAACACGAGGCTTCAGTTCTGTACCTGTACGTATGTATGTGCATCTGCGTTATTTTACACACACACACACACACACACACACACACACACACACACACACGGGATCAAGTTTCAGCTCTTCCAGGACTATTCTAACTCAAGCTAAAAGAAACATGACAAGAATAGCGCCAAGAACCCCTATCTCCCCTTTATCCCAATTCGACAACTGTTTACACATTGCACCATTGACTTTCTCCTTCCATATATAGTCTATTTGCCTCCTGAACCATTTTGAGAGTTACGTTTCAAGCATCATGCCCCTTTATGCTTATATACTTCATGTGAAGTTTCTGAGAACTAGAACATGCTCTTGCATAAGCACCTTATCATTATCAGAATAAAGAAACTTCACACATTCAACAAAGATACCATCTACACAGCCATATTCAACTGCTGTCAGTTTGCAATGTCTTTTGTTAGTTGTGCTTGTTTCCCTGATCTGGTCTAGGATCTAAGTCACGATCTTGTGACATTTAGTCAGGTCTCCTTAATCTTTGATGGGGAATGGTTTCTCCGCCTTTCTTTGGTTTTTGGTGGTTTTTTTTTTAATTTTTATTATGTTTATGTATTTATTTTTTGAGAGAGGGAGGGAGAGAGAGAGGGAGGGAGAGAGAGAGAGAGAAAGCAAGAGACCGAGCCAGGGAGGGGTAGAGACAGACCGAGAGAGAGAATCCCAAGCAGGCTCCGTGCTGTCAGTGCCGACCCCCAGGCGGGACTTGAACCCACAAACCGTGGCATTATGACCTGAGCCAAAACCAAGAGTCAGATGCTTAACCAACCCAGCCACCCCGTTTTATATTTTTAATGTTTGTTTCTTTTTGAGAAGAAGAGAAAGCATGTGAGCTGCTGAGGGGCAGATGGCCGGGGGGGCGGGGAGGCAGGGAGGGAGACAAAGACCAAAAGCAGGCTCTACACTGGAAGACCTTGACCTTTTTTTTTTTTTTTTTTTTTTAAGTACAATCCAGTCATGCTGTAGGATGTGCCTCAATTTTGATTTGTCTTTTAAGCTCTTCACCATCAGATCCAGGGTATGTGTTTTAGCAGGACCAGGACATGAGGCATGATGTGCCCTCAGCACACCGTAGCAGGAGGCACGTTATGGTGGTCGGTGCCATTCTCTGTGATGTTCACTTTATCCCCTGGTGAACGTGGGCTCTCCAGGTTTCTCCACTTGGCATACATTTTGAAACCTCATTACGCTTAAACCTTTGGGTTCACCTGGGAAATCGCAGTATTTTCCTATGTGTTCGTGGACACGATCTGTGTCAAATAAGCACAGTCACTTGCAGAGAGACAATGCAGACTTGCAGAGATGGCAAGAGAGCAGCCTTCCAAATTCACCTGCTCCCGCGGACACAGCGCATCCACAGCTACGCGCAGGACAAGTCCCTCTCAAAGAAACCCGGAAACTAGCCGAGCGGCTCCTATACGCGTCAGGCCAACGAGAAAAACGACAGGAGAGGCTAACACACAATCTCGCCACAAAGCCCATCCCTCAACGTGGCGAGACACACAACCAGGAGGAAACTCCCAACCCCCGGCTTCTCCCTGGGGGGGGGGGGGGACGGGTGGGGACCCCACATCTGGCACCCCAACTTCCTTGAGAGCTATGGGACCCCAAGACATCTGGGTTTGAGAGCCAACGGGGCTGATTCCCGGGAGACGCACAAGGCTATGGGGAACTAGGAGACAGGTGTGAAAGGGTTCAAGCCCACCCGGCACGGCCGGTCCCCTTGAAAGAGGCCCCGGTGCTTATATTAATAGCTGTGGCCCAAGGGGCACGCTTCTAATTTAACGCACATCCGGGGACTGACTACAACACTCCCTTGCTGGGAATCCTCACCGGAATCTCCCAGCAAGAGCTCCTGCTCATGCGTGGCACTCTGCTTGCTGCTGCCACTGGCCAGGGGATGCCCCTCCATCCTCTGGCCCACGGGCCCAATTGGGCCCCCCTTTGTGGGTGCCACAGGCCCGTGACAGACAGAGAAATGGTTCTTCACCAGCTGTCCTCCCGGGGTGAGGCAGAGAGGTGGCATACAGAAACATCAGGTCCTTCCTTAAAAGAGGCCCATTTGGGGGCGCCTGGGTGGCGCAGTCGGTTAAGCGTCCGACTTCAGCCAGGTCACGATCTCGTGGTCCATGAGTTCGAGCCCCGCGTCAGGCTCTGGGCTGATGGCTCGGAGCCTGGAGCCTGTTTCCGATTCTGTGTCTCCCTCTCTCTCTGCCCCTCCCCCGTTCATGCTCTGTCTCTCTCTGTCCCAAAAATAAATAAATTAAAAACGGTGCTTATATTAATAGAGGCCCATTTGTTTACCATAATGGCCCCACGTGGCCTGAGAGACCGGCTTCTAATTTCACAGACATGCAGGGGCAGACCGTGATACTCTAGAGAAACCAGAGGATGCCATCTCTGTGCTGTCCCTTTGTTTCCCTCCAGCTCACCGGTGTCTCCCATAAGTCCCAGGGCTTAAGAATACCATAACTGGGGGCGCCTGGGTGGCTGCGTTCAGCATCTGACTCTTGATTTCGGCTCGGGTCACGACCTCGTGGTTCCCGGATTCAAGGCCCACATCCGGCTCTGTGCTGACACTGCTTGGGATTCTCTGTCTCCCTCTCTCTCAATAAATAAACTTTTTTAAAAATTTAAAAAATACAATAACTGAACTGAAACATTCAATAGTGTTCAACAACAGGGTCGATGAAGTGTAAAAAGACCCCCATGAACTTGGCAACAGGGCAGTGGAATTGATCCAGAGGAGCATGAACAAAAAACATAGAAAAGTGAAGATCGCTCGAGAGACTTATGGGACACGGCAAGTATT